CCAGACACAGGAGAGAATCTCCTGGTCTGCCGGTTGCTAAGACAGTGGGAAAAGCACAGTATTTGGGCGAAAGTGTCCCATTTTTTCAGATACAATCTGTCACAGCTTCCCTTGGCTAAGAAAGGGAAATCCCCAGACTCCTTGCGCTTCCCGGGTAAGGCAATGCTCCACCCTGCTTCAGCTCACCCTCCGTGGGCTGCACCCACTGTCCAACCAGCCCCAGTGAGATGAACCAGGTACCTCAGTTGGAAATGCAGAAATCACCCGTCTTCTGTGTCAATCACTCTGGGAGCTGCAGACCAGAGCTCTTCCTACTTGGCCATCTTGGAGCAGACCTCAATTTTTTGTATTTTTTAGTAGAGACGGGGTTTCTCCATGTTGGTTGGGCTGGTCTCGAACTCCTGACCTCAAGTGATCCACCTGCCTTGGCCTCCCAAAGTGCTGGGATTACAGGCATGAGCTACCTCACCCAGCCTATTTCTTGCCTTAACTCAATAAGCCCTTGTGTCAGGCTAAAAGACATGGTTCTCCAAAACTATATTTACTTCCTAATTGTCAGAACCTGTGATTGTTACCTCACCTGGAAAAAGAGTAAATATTACCTTCTGAAGCAAGAGATGTGATGAAGGATCTTGAGAGGAGACATTTACCCTGAATTACCCAGATAGGCCCCAAATGCCCTAAATCACATGTATAAACACTTTTATAAAAAAGAGAGCCAGGCAGAGGTTTCACCCAGAGAGAGACAGAGGAGAAAGTGATGTGAAGACAGAGAGAGAGAGATTTGAGTGATGTAACAAGTCAAGGATTGCCAGCAGAAACTGAAAGAGGCAAGGAACTAAATCTCCCCTACAGCTTGTGGAGGGAGTGAGGCCCTATTGACATGTTGGTTTGAGAATTCTGGCCCCCAGAAATGTGACAGAATATGTTACCAAGTTTGTGGTAATTTGTCATGGTAGTCAGAAGAAACTAATATAAATTTGGTATCAAGGAGTGAGGTGCTGCTATAACAAATACCCCAAAATACAGAAGTATCATCCAAGGAATGTCCAAGTTATATGGTTTGGATGTTTGTCCCCTTCAAATCTCATGTTGAAATGTGACCTCCAGTGTTGGAGGTGAGACTTGGTGGGAGGTATTGGATCACAGAGGGAGATCTGTAATGAATGACTTAGTGCCATCCCCTTGGTGATATGTGAGTTCTCCTTCAGTTCACACAAGATTTGGTTGTTTAAAAGGGTGGGAGACCTCACCTTGCTGTCTCTTGCTTGCTCTGTCATGTGACATGCCTGCTCCCGCTTTGTCTTCTGCCATGGGTAAAAGCTCCCTGAGGCTTCACTGGGAGCTGAGCACATGCCAGAGCCATGCTTCCTGTACAGCCTGCAGAACCGTGAGCCAATTAAACCACTTTTCTTTGTAAATTAGCTAGTCTCAAGTATTTCTTTTTTTTTTTTTTATATAGATGGAGTCTCACTCTGTCACCCAGGCTAGAGTGCAGTGGTGTGATCTCAGCTCACTACACACTACAACCTCCACCTCCAGCGTTCAAATAATTCTCCCTGCCTCAGCCTCCCAAATAGCTGGGATTACAGGCACCTGCTACCATGCCCGGCTAATATTTGTATTTTTAGTAGATACTGGATTTCACCATGTTGGCCACGCTGGTCTCGAACTCCTGACCTCAAGTGATCTGCCTGCCTCGGCCTCCCAAATTGCTGGGATTACAGGTACCTGGCCAGGTGGATTTCTTTAGAGCAACACAAAAATGGCCTAATACACCAAGGAATTAGGTAATAGGTAGAGGCTGGAAGAATTCTGTGAAGCATCACAGAAAAAACCTAGAATGCCCTGAAGTCACTGGTGGTAGAAATATGGATATCAAGTATGCTGTTGGTGAGGGCTCAGAAGGAAGTGAGCGGCACAGTAGAGAAAGCTTCTATCAAGATTGTGCCATTGCACTCCCGCCTGGGCAACAGAGCAAGACTCTGTTTCAGAAAAAAATAGAAAGCAAGCTTCCATCAGTAGTCTTTGAAAATATGTATGCTATCTTGAGCAGAATGTTGGCAAAAATATGAGCATTGTAAGTACTTCTGGTACAGGCTTAGAAGGAAATACAGAGCACATGATTGAGAAATGGAGGAAAAATGATCCGTGTTACATAGTGGCAGTGAGCTTGGCTTAATTGTGTCCTATAGTCATGTGAAAATTAGCAGAACTTGCCAATGATTAACTCGGATATTTAGCTGAGGAGAGTACCAAGCAAAATGTTGAGGATGCAGACTGTTATCTTCTTTCTGTTCAGAGTAAAAATGTGAGAGAAAATAGATACATTCAGGAAGGAACTGTTAAGCAGAATTTTCAGTAATTTGTTTTGGTAACCAAAGTAAACTGATAAAGCTCTTAAGTGAAGAGAGGAATATCTTCTCATATTATTCAGAAATGCCAATGCATGGATCCTTTGTGTAGACTAGTATTAGTTTAGACAGTCTGCTATTTTAAGTTAGCATTAGATACCTGATCACTACATCAAGATACTGAATCAAAATGTGTTATTTTAATTCTATGTCACTTGAACATTTAGGACATGCTTCTATCAGCCCTCAATTTATTTTTTTTAATATTAGCCTCAAATAATAAGAATAAATTAACTTTATTTTGAGCTCAAGTGTTGTTTTTTGTTTTTTTGTTTTTTTGGTGGGGGGACAGAGTCTCGCTCTGTCGCCCAGGCTGGAGTGCAGTGGCCGGATCTCTGCTCACTGCAAGCTCCGCCTCCCGGGTTTACGCCATTCTCCTGCCTCAGCCTCCCGAGTAGCTGGGACTACAGGCGCCTGCCACCTCGCCTGGCTAGTTTTTTGTATTTTTTAGTAGAGACGGGGTTTCACCGTGTTAGCCAGGATGGTCTCGATTTCCTGACCTCGTGATCCGCCCGTCTCGGCCTCCCAAAGTGCTGGGATTACAGGCTTGAACCACCGCGCCCGGCGAGCTCAAGTTCTTAAACTCACCAATCAATGATTTGTGAGTCGTTCTTTTGTTTGTTGTTTGGTTGGTTTCTTTGCATTTTGTTTTGTTTGTTTGTATTTTAAGACATGGATTCTTGGGCCCTCTGCAAACCTTGTACATTGATTTTCTGGTGCTGAGGATTGGATATTTATATTTTTCTAAGGCTTTGTCAATTGTTATGATAAACAACCATTTAGGAAACCATTGATATTATGGAGCATAGCTGGATTTGTCTACCATTTCTTAAGTACTCCCTATGTGTCAGATATATATTAGATGAGCTTTACATAATATTTATATGTAATCTTACAGGTACATGTTTAATTTCAGCTTTGTAGTTGGCAAATTGAGGTTCAAAGAAGTAGTAAAGCTGTTCCAAATCCGTAATTAGAAAAACTGATATTTGAGCACATATCTATTTCCAAAACCCATTCTCCTACAGAAAAACCAGCAGTAAAGTGAAAACATTATTTGTTCACATTTCCTTATATATCCTTTCTAGGTGGATGATGTGCGTAAGTCATTTAACTTCCCAAGATTTAGTTTGCTCTATTTGAAGAAGTGTATAATAATATGTATCTCAAGCAGTTGTCATGAAGACCGAATTCAATTATGTACAGAATAGCACCCTGGCAACACTAGAGTGCCATGCAAATGTGATTTGCTTTACTATGGTTTTTGCTCTTACCTATTTTTATTTATGGAATAAGTAAAGTGTAACCATGTTATTTGGCAGAAGTGCCAGCTCTCACAAAATGCTACATCTACTGCCAGCTGCTTCTATTCTTGTGGATCTAAGGCTTCCTCAATGGTTACTTTTGGAGCCAGACTGGATCAGTGTTCATATCCCCGCTCTGCCATTTACTAACAGTAGAATCATGGACTAGTCTTTCCATGATTTTGATTATTCACCAATAGAAAGAGAAAGAGATGCTGGTAATTTGAGGTCGACATTGAAATAATATGGAATGCTTATAATGTTTATGGTCATCATCATTAATGATCACATTACTGACAGTAGCTGTGTTAGTAAGATGGCAAATACATTTTGTGAGGTTCCACTAGACACTGCCTATGAAGAGTGGCACAGGCAGGGGGTGAAAGAATGCCAGCAGTGAGGCAGTGTATTCCGCAGGGCATGGGAAAAACCCAGGCCAGTTGCAACCCGCGTGAATACTAACTCCCACTGTAGCCTGGATTGCATTCCTATGCCAGCAAAATGGTTTTTCAACTGTGGCTATTCTGTAGCAGAGTATCAGCAAGGGAGCCCCAGATAGGGAAGCTGAAAAGAGTTTAATTATTTAGCACATATATATTATGCCATAAGTACATACACAAGCAGAATGGGAGAAAAGAATAGATCCCGTGGCACTTGGCAGATGACCAGTTGGAAAGGCAATCATAAACTACTTGGGAACATTAAATAAGTCAGAATGCTATCTTCTAACATATAAACTAGTAATGATAGCAGTAACTACCATTTCATAAATTCCTGTGCCAGGAACCCTGCTAGGCTTTGTATGTACATTATCACTAGGCTACAAAACTCTATTGAATAAGAACCATTTATTACCTCATTCTACAGACGAGGAAATTGAGGCACAGAGAAGTTAAAGAAGGCATTAATGGTTAAAGACCTGAGAAATATTGGCCATGAGATTTAAAATAGAGTCTAACTATCTGTAAAGCCCATGTCCTTTCCACCGCAGTGTGATGTCTCCATGGAACATTCTCATGTCTTGCATCTCTTGTCCTTTTACAACAACCACTGTTACAGGTAATCCTTCTGCTTTTTTATTTTGCATGTACCCCTCCTCAAGAAAAGGTACATGATAAATAATAAAATCATCATTGGTATATATAAATAGATGATTGATAGACCAGACAGATCGATGACAGACTGTGTGTGTATATGCACACCATCACACTCTGTGACTTTTAAAACTATCTTGTGGATCTCCTTAGTACATCTCTTGTGCTCTGCTTATATTCTGGCCCAGATGTACAGAGCAGCTAGTTCACAATAACCTCCCAACCACCAGTGTCATCATGTGCTTTGTGGATGAAGTGTGGTCCACTCTCCTGAGATCTGTTCACAGTGTCCTCAATCGCTCTCCTCCATACCTCATCGAGGAGATTCTGCTGGTAGATGACTTCAGCACCAAAGGTAAGAAAACCACTTGGGCTATCTCTTGAAATTTCAAAGTTTGGTGGAAGCAAAGTTTGGTAGCAGTTTGGATGGCAAAATTACAAGATAATTTGATGAAGCATAAACATTGTACAAATGCATTGTTTTACGTGGAGCCTCAGAGACATAAGTCTAAGCATCTGTGGACATTAAAAGTCATCTGGAGCTCTATTCAGTTAGTTGTCTCAGTTGTAACTCTCCTACCATGTTGGAATGATCTTCTAACTATGGCTCGTTGGAGATGGGTACTTTGAAGTACTGGAGTTTAGATGTCCTCTACAATTGCATAAATCCCTTTTAATGGAATCACAATTAAAGGGAGGCCTTGCCTACTGGTAATAACTAGAGTTACAGTTGGACTTTATGGAAGGCAAAGAAATTGAGGTCTTATGGCTTCTTCCTTGAGAGCAAGGCATATGATGTGTTCAGTTAAGTGTTAAGAAGACAAATTGCCAATAGGACAAGAGAGATGAGGTGATTCCAATAAAGTTCAAAAGAAGAAGCCACCATAGCCTTTACATTCATTTTTGTTTATTACAGTGAAGAATCTCACTCTTTAGGTTGTCAAATAACTTGTGTATGTAGGTGGTCTGACAGCCACATTACAAATTCCCAAAATGGAACCCATTTTTCAGAAAAGTTTAGAAAATAGCAAAGACTTGGCAATGCTAATATACTTAGCCTTAAGCTAAGTCTTAGCCTGGAGCTGTGACCACAGCAACATGGGAAGTTTCTTTAGCTTCAGAGTTTCTACCATAATCACACTGAGCTCAAGAAACTGTGGGATGACAGAGAAAAACTGGCTGAAAACATAAAACGTGGCCTTGAAAGCATAAACAAAAATAGCACCCAATTAGAAAGTAGATAAGAGTCCCTTCATGAGGGGTAGGTCCAGATTCTGTGGGACCTGAAGCTTATTCAGTTTTCAGGGTCCTAAGAAAAACTTTCTTAGAAAGTTTTCTGGAAGCCATTCCGACCTAGGATAGCTGTCAATAGCTTAATTACACACAGAAGTGACTATAAGTCACATAAACATGGCTCATAAAGCCCCCAGAAAACTGTTCCTTTAGCTGGATCCCTCCATAGCCATCTAATAAGAGAGAAAAGGTGTAATGGAAGGGGATGTCAGAGTAGGAAATGAAAGGGTCTTATTTGCACACATTGTTTAGCCTCTTCCTTGGGTCATGGAAAGGGCTTTTGCAAGAGGTGGGGTTGAGAGTAGAAGCAGAATTGTGCAGAAGCCTGAGCTACATTTATTTTAAGGCAAATATTCCCCTACCTTGACAAATACTCAGAAAGGTGTGCCCTCCACTGTATCACCTTGCAACACTGAAAACAAAGATTTGGGGTTTGAAAAATCAGACAGCTTTGAATATTGAAATGAGACAGAATCCTTCCAAGAAAATGACATCAGAAAATAAAATTATGACCCAAGGAATAAAATTCAGTGATGATGGTAATGTCATAGTTTTTGGCATTTGACTTCGGGAAGGCACTTCTGATACTATCTAGACTTAGCTAATTCAAGTGTTCCTGGTTTATCTTTACTCTGATGTAGACTACCTAAAAGATAATTTGGATAAATACATGTCCCAGTTTCCAAAAGTTCGGATTCTTCATCTCAAAGAGAGACATGGCTTAATAAGGGCCAGGCTGGCAGGAGCACAGAATGCAACAGGTAAGAAGCTACTCATTTTTTTGTGTGTTACATTTTGTTTTAATTTAAAATGTTTCTCAAACATACAGAAAATGTGAAAGACTAGCACAATGATGCCTATATATGCATCACTTAGTTCCATCAGTTTTAAAGTTTTTATAATATGTGCTCTATCATAAACACACATAGACACCTATTGTAGATACTTTTTTCCTGAACCTTTGAAAAAGAAGTTACAGACATCATCATACTGCACCCCTAAGGACCTCAGTAGGCGTCTCTGAAGAACAGGAGCATTCTCTTAAATAAGCACAGCTTTCATAACTAAATATAATACCTACTATATGCTATTTTCAAGTTTTGTCATTGTTCCCAAAATTTTTTTGGTTTTGGATTTTTTTTGTTTTTTTGTTTTTTTGACGGAGTCTCGCTCTGACGCCCAGGCTGGAGTGCAGTGGCGCCATCTCAGCTCACTGCAAGCTCCGCCTCCCAGGTTCAGGCCATTCTCCTGCCTCAGCATCCCAAGTAGCTGGGACTACAGGCACCCGCCACCATGCCTGGCTAATTTTTTGTATTTTTAATGGAGATGGGGTTTCACCACATTAGCCAGGATGGTCTTGATCTCCTGACATCGTGATCTGCCTGCCTCAGCCTCCCAAAATGCTGGGATTACAGGCCGCAAAACGTTTATTTTAAATTCAGAAACTAATTAAGTTTCATACCCTGCATTTGATAGTTTGGTCTTCTTAGTCTAGAATACTCAACTCCTCACACTTTGCTTAAACATTTGTGTGTGTGTGTGTGTGTGTGTGTGTGTGTGTGTGTGTGTGTGTGTGTATTTTAAGTTCATGCCATTTGTTTGGTACAACTGACCATGTTCTGAAATTTTCAATTTCCTCTTGTTACCTGCAGGATAAATGTTTTTGGAGTGAAAATATTATATAGAATGCTACTACATAGGTGATAGAAACGGTATACATCTCATCAAGAGGCATATAATATAACATAATATTACCAGTATTGTTGATACTAACTTTGAGTAGTTAGTTAAGATGTTGACAGCTAGATCTTTACTTTGGGAGTAAGAAGTAATTTGTGGAATGATACATTAACCCATGAGAATATTCTGTTTTTCTTACAATGTTTTACCCAATGGTTTTTAGTATCCATTGATGATCCTTGCTTAAATCAATTATTACATTGAGGACTGAAAAGTTGCTTTTCTATAATTCATTCTTTTTTATTTAGCTGGCACTCATGTGTAAGGAAAAAAATCTCTATCTCTCCCTCTCCTGTTTTCTAACTCTTCCTCCCTTCCCCCTCAACCTCCCTCTCCCCTCCCTCTCATCCCCTCACCAATATGGATTTATGGCTTAGAAGTTAAATGTGTATTATATCACCATTATTCTTGTTGGTGTTCAAATTGTCCCAAATTTGGTCACTAGGAGCTTCTTCAAGCCTGCACCTTTTTGACCTGACCAATCAGTATTTCAAGATTTCATAAAGTTTTAATCCTACAATCCTCACCCCTCTCTTCTCTGACCCATGTCTGTTCTTCCTAGGTTTTTTCTGCCTTCCCCAAAGGCCATATGCCTTCTTTTCCCCTCCTTTTTTTAGTGTGCAGGTGTTGGTGAGTGAATGAGAAGTGAGTCTATTTTATGAGTATTCTACAAACAACATCAAACATTTGGGTTCATGCTCATAAGTTTCTAAGGAAGGATCTGTGCCCTGTGATAGTAGCTGACTTATATGCTAGGTGCCATTCTGAATACTTCATATATTAACTGATTGAATCCTCACAATAACTCTATGAGATGGGTACAATCACATCCTCATTCTACATATGAGAATATAGAAGTGCAGTGAGGCTGTGCTTTATGTAAGCTCACCCATCTAGTCAGTGGTAAATCCAAAGCTGGCACCTGAATGCCCTGACTCCAGAGGCCATCCTCTTATCTACTACACCTTGAGGCCTCTAGACACTTAGTCACTACTCCGGTCCTGTATGCCCTGCTTTTACAGTTCTTCACCAGCTTAAATTCAAGCATGTTCTGATGGGAAATTATCTGCTTACGTGAGTTTAATTTTCTCGTAACTGGACCCCATATTTGAAGCTCTTCTCATTTCATTGGTTTGCTAACAAATGTCTTCTCTTTGTAGAGGAAATTTTAAGTGAACAACAAATACATCACACCAAAATTGGCATTGCAGTGACAGTTAAGATTCTCAATGAGAGACTGCATTCAGAAAAATCTAATGGCATTCCATGCTTAATTTCCTTTGGAAAATAATTATCTATAAATGATGTACAAATAGGATACTCAAGAACTAGTTTAAGTAGGTAACTTTTAAGCTGAGGTCTGGGTGAAGACTATTCCCAAGCAAATGGAACAAGAAGTACAAATGTCCTAATGAAGAAATGAGCTTGGCATATTCAAGGTATTTCTCATATTCAATAAGAAATAAGTTCATTTTGACTCATGGGTGCTGACCATGGGGAGAGTCATAAAAGATTCATTTGGGGGGAAAGAAAAAAGCAAGTTTTTCTAAAGTTTTGTGCATCACTTAAAGATTGTAGGCATTATTCTCAGTATAAGGTGAAGCCAGTGAAGAATGTTAAATGGGAACAAAACTGTCTGATGTACATTTTGAAAGTTCATTTTGGCCACTGTGTAGATAATGGATATTAGGAAGATGAAAAACGAAGCAGGGAGGCTATTTTAGTTGTCCAAGTACCAGGGAGGTGCCAGGGTAAATGGGAGAAATGGTCAGCTTCATCATAGATTGTGCACATGGAACGTATAGGACTTGCCATCAGATAGGATGTGAAGAGAATGAGAGCAATCAGAAACAAACTCTAGGACTGGTATCTGAACAGCTTGGTGGGTGGTAGGCTCAAAATTGGAGGAGCAGGTTTGGAATTGCAGTTGAGTTTTGATTTTGTCCATATAAATTTGAGATGAAAATTAGATATTCACGTGCAGAAAGTAGAATACAGAACCAAATATGGATTACTTATTTAAAAATATTCTCTCTGCCTGCATGGAGCACAGAGTATGCTAGTAATGGCCTCCGACACAGTCCAAACTATTAGACGACATGGGTGGCGTGTCTTAGAAGGGGTGTTATGAGCTTGATTAAAGCAGTTGCAACTGCTTGCTCAAGTGTTTGCAGTTACATTCATAAAGTAATTTCTTTGAATTTAGCAAATCTGAATGTAAATTCAGATTCATTAACACCCTTGAGAATATTAGCTCAGTAACTTTCAAACCATTTTGATGATGACTTGTGTAGAAATAAATTTTTCATCACAATTCACTACATGTGTAATCACACATATAACTACAGTAGACATTTTATCAAATAACATGTGGAATAGATTCTAATATCTTCTTTTCTATGTTATTTATTTTTTAGATCCTGGCCAATCTCAATAAATTGATTTAGTGATTGATTCACTAAGAGGATCTATAGCTCTCAGTTTGAAAAACCCCAGCTAGGTGTATCTTAATTGCTTGCCACTGCCTAGTAGAGTGATGCTTCCCAAACTATCTAAAAAGGACTTTTTTCCCCTAATTTCCATTTTTTTATTGACCTACCCCTTTGTAAATTATAACAAATATTAATTACTCAAAAAGGAAAGTAGATATATAAAACACAAACCCATTTTTATTATATATAAATTATATATGGCTGGGTGCAGTGGCTCACGCCAGTAATCCCAGCACTTTGGGAGGCTGAGGCAGGCAGATCACCTGAAGTCAGGAGTTCGAGACCAGCCTACCCAACATGGCAAAACCCTGTCTCTACGAAAAATACAAAAAATTAGCCAGGAGTGGTGGTGGGTGCCTGTAATCCCAGCTACTCAGGAGGCTAAGGCAGAGAATCTCTTGAACCTGGGAGACGGAGGTTGCAGTGAGGTGATATCACACCACTGCACTCTAGCCTGGGCAACAAGAGCAAAACACTGTCTCAAAAAAAAAAAAAAAATATATATATATATATATATATATATATATATATAAATTTATAAATTTGGCAAATTGCTATAAAGTTTCAAAATATTTGTTCTCAATTTCTATTGCTATCTCCCTGTAGACAGCAGGGTCTGTGACCTACACTTTGAGCAGCATTAGTGGAGCTTAGGTACTTGAGAGTTTGGAAAGAAGAAAGATGTGTCTCGATGTATCCTTGCCCAGGGATACATCCAATGCCAGGAAGTACACCTGTCCCCTGTGGGGAATTCAAGGCAATGCAGGATCAATTTTAGCAGAGAATGTAATTCAGAGACTGGCATTGAGCAGAGATGGCAGGCGGGGTGGGTCCTCTCAAACTCCCCTGGGTGTGCCACAGCTCTCAAGAGTAGAGATAAGTAAGAGACTAAGGGCCTCCTGAAGAGTTCCTGTAAATTAGAGGTCAGCAAAGACAGCAGACAAAAATTTTCTCTAGGATGCCTCACCAAACAAAGAGTTTAAAGATAAGAATCTGAGTCCAGAACCTGACAGGCCTTGGCGCAACTGTTCCCTACAGATTTGCCCTTTAGGACTCAAAAGGGAATTAACAGGCAAGGGTGAGATCCAGAGATCCAAAGACATGCAAAAATAGAAGTCAGATGGCCTATTTTGGTCCCATTGTATTATGAGGCTCTCTGAAGGTCTGCAGGAGGCTCTCTGAAAGTCTGCAATCATCTGCAAAATAATAAGGGGCCAAGAACTGATCTGCCTTACCGTTAGCGATGTCTACTATGCATTCCGTTTCCAGGGCATGTTAGTTCTTCATCTGAATCTATTTCAGGCAAAAAGATTAGGTCCAATCAGTTGCTTGCTGTGAATGAGGAGGTTGAGAGGCCCAAGTAGGATTTCAAAATTTGACAGGTAGGCCAGGGGCAATGGATCTCTAAGAATTGCTCACTCTATGAAGCCAACAGAATTAAAAAGATGCAGTAAATGAAATATCAGGGAACAAGTAGATCACCCACATTCCTTCCTAGTATGGAACAGACCAAGTGATTTACTGCCCTGCCAAGAGGAGTTACAGTCAGGCAGTAGAGAGTCAGAGTAAATATTAGGTTTTCATTTCCTTCATGACATGGCGTTTAGCAAACTTCCTGACATTTCTATGAGCATTCTAAATAATCACTTGGCTAACTTTAAGTAACTGAACAGGTGACATCTAACTCCCAGCAAACTCCAAGGTCTCCTAAAAAGCAACAGTAGACATCTTTCTGCAAACTTTTATAACTTGTATCTGCTGCAGGTAAAAATTATTTCCTTAGCGTTACTTAGGAGGCATTATGTAAAATTAAATGGCATGCCAAGCCAACTTCCCTCGAGGAACCCTTGACATAACCATCCAGCATTAACTGGTTCTGCAGCAATATTCCAGGTTGGTACACTGGATATAAATGGGGGTCCATGCTCAACAAGGACCCAAAATTGTTTGGCACATTGAACAGTTTTATGTTGCCCCCCACCCTCCAAATTTTTAAGTTACAAATGAAACCCATCTGTAAACAATCCAGTATTATTGTGACCTATCCTTAGAAACAGAAAATCCTACCAGGTAGCAATCAAGATTGGACTAAAATTTTATATTCTTTAACCAACCTCTCCCTATATCCCCTCTCCCCTACCCTTTCCAAATCTAGTGCTTTATAGCACTATAGGGTCACTATAGTTAACAATAGTTTATTATATGTTTTCAAGCAGCTATCAGAGAGGATTTTGAATGTTCCCAATACACATAAATGATAAATGTTTGAGGTGATTGATATGCTAATTACCCTGATTTGATCACTACACATTTTACGTATCAAATATCACTATGTACCCTATAAATATATATAATTATTATGTGTCAATTTAAAAATTTTAAGTGATTGGGTTGATTATTCTGACAGTAAATTATACTAGCCATTTTTAAAGAATTTAGGTATGAGGTAGATCTTAGAAATATCTTTACAAGGCAAAGCTCAAAAAGGTTAAGTAACTTATCTAAACTGGCTAGGAAAAGCAGAGCTCGGATTGAAGGCTATTGTATGTAACTTTAATGCTATGCTTATTTCACTGTGCTTCTCAGCCTCTCCAAATCAGGAACAGTGTGTACAATGTCCATAGACAATAATCACACCAATCAGAAATCCCACCAAGAGTCAGCTACACAGAAAGCTCCCTGTTTTCTCACCTAACATAGTCCTAAGATCTTATTTTAAAACAAAATGTCTGAAAGTAGAGCAATAGCATGCATGCATGGGAGGATTCTCCTCTTCCCCAAAATAAAACAATATAAAATTCCAGACTATGTTTTGAGCAGATGCTGCTTCCCTTAGGTCCTGGCAGCAAATGAATGAGAATTTTCATAGGGATCTGGGCCAGGTGGGAAGTGAATGTAGGTTTGGGAACCCATCCTGCTGCCACTGGGGACTGAGAAAGATAATCCAGGCCCCTTTGACTTCATAAGGTTGCTATGGGGATAGGGACAGGTGGTATAGTAAACACTGCTCTTTAAACTCTAGGTCTGAATGGACCACAAGTAGAAATCTTATTTTTTGTTTTTGTTTTTGTGCTTTTTGTTTTTTGTTTTTGAGACGGAGTCTCGCTGTGTCACCAGGCTGGAGTGCAGTGCCTCGATCTCTGCTCACTGCAACCTCCACCTCCCGGGTTCAAGTGCTTTTCCTGCCCCAGCCTCCTGAATAGCTAGGGCTACAGGCACACACACAGGCCCAGCTAATTTTTGTATTTTTAGTAGAGATGGGGTTTCACCATGTTGGCCAGGATGGCCTTGATCTCTCAGCCTCATGATCCTACCACCTCGGCCTCCCAAAGTGCTAAGATTACAGGCATGAGCCACCACGCCCAGCCAGGAATCTTTTTTTTACCACATTGTATACCACTAGCCAAGTGGACTTTAGCAGGCCATGCTTCATATACCTACATAACCCTGTGAGTCTTCCCATGACCGGGGAGAGGGTTGTCCCAAAGGTGCCATCCCCAAAGGACACCCTTAGGAGATGGCTTAGTCCTTTTGGGCTGCTATAACAAAATGCCTTACACTAGATAATTTATAAATAGCATATATTTATTGATCACAGTTTTGGAGGCTGGGAAGTCCAAGATCAAGGCAGTAGCAGATTCAGTGTCTAGTGACAGCTCACTGTCTGCTTCAAAGGTGGCACCTTGTTGCTGTGACCTTACACGGTGGAAGGGCAAAAGGGGCTCACAAACACTCTCCAGCCTCTTTCATATGGGTACTAATCCTACTTAAGAAGGCTCCACCCTCATGATCTTATCACAAAGGCCCCACCTCCTAATACTATCACCTTAGGGTTAGGTTTCAAAATATGAATTTTGGATTGACACATACATTCAGACCATGCAGGGGACAATACCCTGTCATTGTCAAACAAGCATTAATGCCCTGAAAATAGGACCCTTCCAGCCTGGTCAGGAAATGAAACTGCTGTCTCCAAGAACAGAAGACTACATGGTGGGGGAGTTGCCTCTCACAGATGGTTTCACTAAACAGACTCCTCAAGAACACTCCACACCAATACCTTACCCTGATGCAAAAATGCCATTGTTAACCAAGTAATTAATATGATGCTAAATTCCATTAATTGAGAGGTAGTTTGCAGATTTCGGTGATAATGATCTATCATCTAGATAACTGTCCTCATTTTGTTTTCTAAGCCTTCCCATACCCAAAGCTCTGCCTCCTTCTAGCAATTTTTAAGGAACGTAATCTATGGAATGAGCTACTTGTTTTCTAATATCACATTGCTGTTTGTTAACTGTGCAACCGTAGAAAAGTTACCTAAGGTCTTTGTTCTTTAGTTTCCTTGTCTCTTAAGTGGGAATAAAAATTAGTTCTATACTGCAGGGTTGTTGTAAGGACGACACAAAACATCCATGAAGAATGTTTAGAACGGAGGCTGGCATAGAACAAGCACTTAGATGATGGTTGCTCTTACAGGTGTGTCAAGAGCTAAGCTGAGCATCCAGGTATCAACACAGTCAATTAAAATGATAAACCAAAATGAAAGCAGTAGTCAAGCCTTAATCCCTTACTGCAACAGTATCAGCAGGAGGCTGAAGAGGAGAAGGCATTGGCTCCTCCTGTGTTCCATTTTTCCCCCTGGAATGTTGCTGAGTAGTGGATCAGAGCAGAGCAGAGCAGACAAGAGGGGCAGCTCACTGCCTGCCCAAGGAACGCAGCACAAAAGGGTTCTTCTGTTATGTGGCCCTGGGATCCAGAGTAAGAAAGGGAAAGGCTAGGAGTGGGAAAGCACTGAAGAGTGAGTCCGAGTTGAGCAAAGTGTCTTCGAGACCCATTCCCTCTCCAATAAAGTGGTCCTGGCAGAGGCTTTGGCCTGAATGGAGACACCTGGGTTAGGAATGCAGACAGGCAGAAGAGCAAGTCCTGCAGCCGAGTGGAGGTTCTGAGTCCTGGACCACAACTCCCTTTAGAGACTTCAACACACTGGCTGGGCACCAAGTCTGAGTGAGAAAGCAGGTTTCCCCCATGAGCGCCCCACTAGGTAGAGCCTTTGTTTTACCTGTGGTTGGGCCTGAAAGATCACACATAGGATCTGGACCAGGAGCTTATTTCCTAGGTTGTTACACTCTCTCACACACACATCACACCACACACACACATACACATACTTCACTTGTATAAGATCCTCTGGAGCAATGTAGATGCTACTGACGTTTCACTGGGGAGGGAAAGAGTGTTACTTCACACAACTAACAGGGAAAAAAAGAGTTCTTAATACTACTTCTGGTCTCCAAGTTTCTTTTCCTTTTATTTTCTTTTTCTTCCTCTTAAGTCTTTTTAAAAGTTGTGTAAAATACATAGAATATAAAAATGGACCATCTTAACCATTTTTAAGTGTACAGGCCCATAGTGTTACATATGTTCACATTGATGTGCAGTCTACATGACTCTTTTTACCTTGCAAAAATAAAACTCCATACCCATTCATCAGCAACCTCCCATTCCCTACTCCCGTCTCCTGTAACTCTTTTCCAGTACCTCCTAGCCTTGCCGGTTCGTCTACTTTAATTTCTTTCATCCCTATTGTGTGAAGTAATTTTTCCTCTTCATCATTCCTAAGGACAAACTTGTCATCTCAGTCTCTCTGCTTCTTAAAAACAAAGTCCCAAATCCTGCACCCCCAGCGTTAATGGGCACACTCTCTTAGAGGGGACTTCAGCAACTACCTTTAATACCAAGTATTCTTTTCAGATTCTTTTACCCATTCAAAATGGCTTACCAATTTTTTCCAAACATAAATTATGTTTGCACCACAGGACTCCTAGGAGCAAAGTTCCTCTCATTTCAGTATGAAATGAAATTATGCTGACCACGAATTCAGAAAAAAAAAAAAAAAAAAAAGATTACTGCATTTACAGCTACATTTCTGGAGCAATCATCAATACTTTTGAACATGAAGTACACACATTCAGTATACTGTATTTTCAAAGATTTTTGTGTTTTTGGCTCTCTAGGTGATGTGTTGACATTTTTAGATTCTCACGTGGAATGTAACGTTGGTTGGTTGGAACCTCTTCTGGAAAGAGTGTATTTAAGTAGAAAGAAAGTGGCCTGTCCAGTAATCGAAGTCATCAATGATAAGGATATGAGGTAATATTGACACATTCCACAAGATACTTCTAAGCACATATGTAAACACAAGCAGCAGAAAGTGCTGAGTATATGCCCAATATGTGCATTTTTTGAAAATCCAAAACATATACAGCTTACTTAAATAAATGGAAAAGCATGGTCGATATCTTGGGATCAGAGTCTGCTGATGCAATAATCTATCTGGTAACTACAAATTCGTAACTCTAAATACCAATAAATCCTAATAGTTATTATCTGTTTTTTCCCCTTTATATTTAGCTGAACCCACAAATATTTATTTGCCTCAAGTTTAGTTCTTATTTCTGTGGGAAACACGTATGTGCTTCTAAGTTGCCCTTGTACTTTTTTTTTCTTCAAAACTGGCCAGAACAGTATTAAAATAAAAGTATAAGTTAAGCACAAATAATCAAGCCAATTAGTTACTAAAGCAAATTGTACTTGTAAATGTTCTTGAACTATTATTAAAAGGTGGTGCCCTAAAATCATCATAAGCACTTGTTTCATTCATTTGACTACGTTGTGAAACCAAATTGATAAAGTACATAAAGATTTATATAATCCCAGATAACACTTTGGTTTTTTCTTCCTGGATTAGTTACATGACAGTGGACAACTTTCAAAGAGGCATCTTTGTGTGGCCCATGAACTTTGGTTGGAGAACAATTCCTCCAGATGTCATTGCAAAAAACAGAATTAAAGAAACTGATGCAATAAAGTAAGTGTGTGCAATTTAAGACTAGAAAGCAGTCATATATCTTTTTGTAAAAGCATAAAAAATTCTACAAAACAGCTTATTATTCTATAGAACATTAAGAATCACAGTTCTATCCAATAGATTACCAAAGCAAACACAATATTCCTGAGAAATTTGTTCCCAAAACTAATTCTTCACTGGTCATTTGTACCTTACTCAGGGCTGAACACACAAAAATTCACTAATGCTATCCTGTCCCCTAGGATTTGCAACCTAAGAAACACAAACTAGCAAAATGTGCTGCATACATACTATATAAACACACATAATATTAAAGTAAACATAAGTGCAAATTAAAAGTAAATAATAGTAATAGAAATATCATTCTAATGATAGCAATGGTTAGGATTTTCTTTTACAGCCTAATCCTACCCCCTCCATGAGAGAAGTGCCAAATTCTATGAATAAATTTAAAAATCGATTCAGAAGCTGGATATGAATTCAAGTTTGGGCTTTTATTCCCAAGAAACTGCATTAAAGAACACAGCTTAGACCTGAAGCTGAAGTGGAGGCTTCCCATTACTTCTTCAGAATCTAGGCCTGCAGGACAAGCATTCAGCCAGCCACAGAAAGAGCAGCAGGGAGCTTAAATTTTCCCTGTTGTAGTGACTACTTAAGCAGACACAAGCAAGCCAGCCCCAAGAGAAAGCCAAGCCCAGACTGCATTGAAGCATGTTTTCCCCAAACTTACCCCTCAATCAATCATACCACCTTCCTTGCCAGGTGTGATGCCTTCAGAATTGTTCCACCAAGCAAAGAAGTGAAGGTTCTACCATTTATTAAGCACTCTGTGCCAGGCACCTAACTCTCTTCCTAACTCTAGGAGGCAGGTGGAAGTATTCACCTTAAAGAGGTGAGGAAATTGAGACTTAAAAGCATTAAGTAATTTTCCCAGAGATCCACAGTTAATGAAAGAAGAATTTGAGACTCAAACCCAGAACTACCTGGATTTAACACTCTTATTCTGCACCTACACCTAAAGAACCTCTGCTTTTTCCAAACTCTCATGTTGAGGGCCAATACAGTGGTTGAATTCAGACTACATTCAACATAATGTTAGGAAGAGAATGCATTCTGGATAGACTAGTAGGAAAATTGGAGTGCAGAAAGAACACGAACGTAAATGGTGGCAGAGGGGAGAGAGGTATGGGACAGGAATTATGTCCCCCTTGAGATTACTGTATACACTAAGCACAAAGCAGACTCTCCACAGAAACTACTTCAGCTGGCTGAGTGGTGACCACCATAGGAAGTGATTCCAGTCTTCGCTAACTGCTGACTAAAATATAGTTTCTATTCTCCATAATCAATATTATTAGTGAAGGCTCTGGAGACAGTTTGAATCTCCACTCTGCTACTGAGAAGTGGTATGAGCTTGAAAAGACTACTTCTCATCTTCAGCCTCTATTTCCTCATTTTTACATGAAGACTCATAGAAGCAGGTGCTACTTAGATTGTTTTAAGAACTGAATCAGATGATACATAAAGTGCTTTGAAAGGTGCTTGCCATATAACATGCTGTCGGTAAAGTTTGTGTGTGCTTGTGAGGCAGGAGAATAGGGTCTGGAGGCAAGAACCTTGAGGCCAATTCATGCCGACCTCCTGAAGTCGAATCAAGGAAAAACACCAAGGTCTGGGGGGGCAGGGAATCTAAGACCAATTCCTGCTGACTTCCCAAAGCTGGATCAAAAGGAAAACACCTGGGTCTAGGGGCAGGGGATCGAAGGCCGAATAACACCCACTTCCTAAAGCTAAACCAGAAGGAAAATTCCATTTCCCCACATCCGAGTAAAAAAGGATCAAAGGCTACTCTCCCTACAGCCCTCCCCTTCCACCACCTCTCAGAGGGAAAGGGAGGGTGCCTTGGACTGGCCAAGCAGGGACCTTCCCTTCATCTGCATAGGGCGCCAATTCACCTCAGCCTTTCATTAGCCAACCAAATCCTTCATCCAGATAAGGGGCAGCCGATAGGGACCTCGAAAGGAGTACTCGCAACTCAGAAAACTTTGTAACCCGTTTGCTCCGGCCCACTCCCACCCTGTGGAGCGCTTTCTCGCTTTAATAAATCCCTGCTTGTGCTGCTTCGTTCATGTGTTTCGTTCCTTTGTTAGTGTGTTTTGTTCAATTCTTTGTTCAAACTACCTAGAACCTGGATAACTCACACTCACGGCCTTCCTTCCGGTAACCGCGAGAGGCAGTACAGTGGAGTGAGTGGCACAGCGTCCCCTCAGACTGCCCAGAGCAAACCCAAGGTGTCAACTGTCCTTGGGAAAGTTTCTTACCTTCTCTGTGTTGCCGATTCCTGAGAGCTTGCTTGGAGGTTCTAGCAGGGAGCGCAGCTGCTCGTATACCCTTGAGGGAAGACCGGCCCTCCTCTGTCGGGGATGGTCGTCCTCTTCCACAGAGAGCGCAGCTTCCGGGAGGGACGCACACGGAGAAGTGAGGGAGGAAGGGGACACCCGCCTAGCCAGCCGGATCAGCCGAATCAACCCTGGCAATTCATGGGGTGACAGATGTCGCAGCCAGATCGCCCTCACATCCAGTGTTGCAGATTTTTTTTTTTTTTTTTTTTTTTTTGGAGACGGAGTCTCGCTCTGTCGCCCAGGCTGGAGTGCAGTGGCCGGATCTCAGCTCACCGCAAGCTCCGCCTCCCGGGTTTACGCCATTCTCTTGCCTCAGCCTCCCGAGTAGCTGGGACTACAGGCGCCCGCCACCTCGCCCGGCTAGATTTTTTGTATTTTTTAGTAGAGACGGGGTTTCCCTGGGTTAGCCAGGATGGGCTGGATCTCCTGACCTCGTGATCTGCCCGTCTCAGCTTCCCAAAGTGCTGGGATTACAGGCTTGAGCCACCGCGCCTGGCCCAGTGTTGCAGATTCTTAATAATCATACACACTCACAAGATTTTTTGTGAAGTCTGGGCTGGTATGTATATAATACTTACAATAGTGCCTGATACTCCCTTAGCCCTGAATGAGTGTTAAAAATAACATTCCTGGACAGTTTGTGTCACAGTATAAAGGGCAAATAATACTAGTTCCAGGATGCATCTTTGCTGAACCTAATCAAGCTCTGCCACCATGATCCAGGGAGGGCATCACTTAAGCCCTATTTGTGACTCTGTCCCAGGGCTTCCCTGCATCGGATAGCTATTCTGAAAAGCCTTCTACCTCCAGTACAAATGTACAGAGGACCAACTCTAAAAGTCGAACTTTCATGAAATGTAAGTTTAAAAAACAAACTTTTCTTTTTGTAGGTGCCCTGTCATGGCTGGTGGATTATTTTCTATTGACAAAAGTTACTTTTTTGAACTTGGAACATACGACCCTGGCCTTGATGTTTGGGGTGGAGAAAATATGGAGCTCTCATTCAAGGTATTACCAGGTGTTTCCCAAATTTTCTTTACAATAATGAGTTAATCAATTTAAATGGTTTGATTTTACTACTATAATCAGATATGTGACTGCCACTAAGAGGAAATTTCACAGAAATTTTAGGGTCTCTGGATTAATTTTTTCATATCTCAGATCGAATTTGGAGGAATCCATTGCTGTCGTGAAATTTATTAGCATTCCCTAGTCTTTCACAACACCATTTCTGCTTGTAAATATGGGGGAAATGACTTTCTGCCACTCAGAGTAAATGCTGTGGGAGTCATATGTGATACAGAATAACTCTTCTGGGACATCTGTCTAGTATGTTGGAAGGAATAGACTCAATCTGTATTGGATCATCTTGGAGAACACAAATGACAGAAGGACATAAAAATACCTCTAAAGCAGGTCACCAACAGGTCAGGTGTGCTCATAGTACAGCTCCTTTGGATACTTTATACCATCTATTATACAATCACCAATTAACTTCTGAGAAAGCCTTGGCAACAGCAGTAGTAGAGAGTGTCCAAAAAGTAATTGCTTTCCTATTGGGTGGGTGTTCTGTATGTAGGCAAAAGGGTATAATTTTGGAGCTGCTGATCAAGAAAAATGGTTTTGAGTTGTGTACCACAAGCCTTTTGGTTTTTCCCAAAATGAGAGTAGGGGAACGTGAACAAATGGACATCTACACTTCTTTCCCTGATTCAACCAAAACAAGAACTCATATTTTACAAAATGGGATTCTGTGAAGATTTATTTACAAATAAATAAAAAACTTATATTGCAGGTTAGGAAATGAAAAAACTACATTTCACTAATCCTAAAATGATCCACAGCAATACACAAAATTAAATAAGCCTGTTGAGTTTGATTTTCTATTTCAAAAGTGTGTTTGAAGTTGAGTATTACTTCAGGTAAGGGGATACAAGGTCGCCAGCCAGGTGGTTTCTTGTCATTGTTAAGTGCCCATGATTTGTGGATAATCATTTGATAATTGATGCTTATCATCAAATTCTTCCAGGTGTGGATGTGTGGTGGTGAAATTGAGATCATTCCCTGCTCCCGAGTGGGCCATATATTCAGAAATGACAATCCGTATTCTTTCCCCAAAGACCGGATGAAGACAGTAGAGCGGAACTTGGTGCGGGTTGCTGAGGTCTGGTTGGATGAGTATAAGGAGCTGTTCTATGGCCATGGAGACCACCTCATCGACCAAGGGCTAGATGTTGGCAACCTCACCCAGCAAAGGGAGCTGCGAAAGAAACTGAAGTGCAAAAGTTTCAAATGGTACTTGGAGAACGTCTTTCCTGACTTAAAGGCTCCCATTGTGAGAGCCAGTGGTGTGGTAAGTTCAAGTGACAATTTAAAATCTTACTCCATAAAAACAAAACACAAAATCTCTTTCAAAAATGTGTGGAAAGAATGAGTAATTACATCATAAATAAACATCAAGTATGAGCATAGATGGGACAAAGCATAGCTGAGAATTAAATATAGGTAAACTTAAGGAAGGCTACCAAGTGGTCATGTTCATTGATTAACTCAACAGATATCTATGGAATATCCATAGATCTGGGAGTATTTCAGACTTGGATTACAGGGCGATGAATGAAGCAGACTTGATCCCTTCCTTGTGGAGCTTAATTTGGGTAGGGAAGAAAGATTATAAACAAATAAGCAAGTCAAGTGTAAATACAAAATATAATAGCTCTCATTTAGGGAGCAGGCCACAGTTGATGAATTCTCAGAGTGGTAGAGAAATCCTCTCTGAGAAGGAGACTTTGTAACTCACGCCTAAAACACTAAGTGTCAGTCAGCCAAGCTCTAAAGAAGAGTGCTAGGCAGAGGGTGAAGGTCATGTAAAGCCCTCAGACAGGTGAGTGTTCTCCATCCAAGCACTGGAAAGAAGGCAAATGTTGTTGTCAGGGTGTGAAGGAGGGAAGAATGGCGCCAGAAGAAGGTGAAGAGGAAGGAAGGAGCCAGATCACACAGGTCCTTGTAACCAAAGTAAGGATTTTCTTTCTTTCTTTCCTTCCATCTTTCCTTCCTTGCTTCCTTCTTTCTTCTGAAAGTAGTGGGAAGTTACTGAGCAGAGTTAAGCAAGGGGGTGATAAGATTTAATTAGGATTTGTAAAGATTTCAAAGAGGGACTTAAAATTACAGAAAATATCAGAGAATAGCAGATAACATTCCAGGACATGAGAGATAGTATCCGAAGGGAAGAAGCTAAGCCAGATAAGGTGGCCAGAGTACAAGACTAAGAAAACATCAAGGAAGAGGAAAAGCTGGGGAAAAGCCATTTCAAACCCATTCTAGGAGTGAAGCTGCATTTGAAGAGGATGGTAAGACACGTGGGTTTAAATATGATTAGCCAAGCCTTCAGCTGGGGTTCTTTGCCTTTCATGCTTATTTCTAATCTTTTATTTCCAATTTGATTTGACTTATAACTATCCCCAGTGTTTTTGTTTTATTTCAGCTTCCTTTTTCTTCATCCAAGAAATTATTTTAAAATGTGACCATTAGTTATCCTGCCCTTTTAGGCCAAATTTTTTCAGTTCTTCTAGAGAGTGGGTTATACCATGCTTTCTATCTGGAAATTCTCCTGATAGCAAAAACTTATTATAATACTCCCCTTGAAAGTATTAGGGAAATCCAGGAAAGCTATGAAAGACAAGAAACTAGTCTTAAAAAGTGATTCTGTTTTTTACAAAATTCAACTGATAAATAAGCATATGCGACCTCTTTTTAGGTAATGCACTATATTATAAAATTGCCATTTTTATAGGTCCAAATAGAATGGCAGCTAATTTAGGTGGCTCAACCTGGTAATTTATCAGACAGTTTGGATTTATATACACACTGTTCAAATGACAACATGTCAAATATAACTGTAAAATAAATTTACAATTTTTAATTTCAACCCCTGAGCAGAAAAAAAAAAGAAAGAAAGAAAGAAGGAATTCCCACTATTGTAATTTTTCCCATTCCAACAGCACAATCTCAGTAAGAGTAATACTGAACTTTAACCACCAGAGGGCACTAGAAAACTACGTTTTGGCTCCACTGGTAGGCTAACTTGTGTGAGTTCCTACGAAATTTCTGAAGAGCTCTCCTAATGAAACAGCCTTCTGCTGATATCTCTGCTATAACATATCAAAATGCAGCAAGTAGTTTAAACACTGATTTTAACAAATTCCTTCTATTTTCCTTTGTTGTTTCCTTGAACAAATTTCAGTGAAGATGTAGTTTGCTCCCTTCTGAAGCAACCAGCAGGGAGCGTTATTACCATTTTTAAAAAATTAGGACCTTTCTCCAGGTAATTTGGAGCAAATTAAGTAGATCATTATTTTAGATAGATAATCTTGGAAATTTCCAAGAAAATAAACTCCACAACTTCTTTTTGTATCTTGCTCCATTTCACTTCTTTCAACCTTCACACGTAGATACTTAAATCCAGTGAAAGTTTTGTGTTTTGTAATAAGAACAAATATTTTCTTATTGAACCAACAATATTTGAAGCTAATAATCTCACCAATAATGTATTTTTACACTGGATTAAACTGCTGGCAAACAGTCTATAGCTCTGTTTCCCTTTTTTCAACCTCCATGTGTAGGAATTTAAATCCAGTGAAAGTTCGTGTTTTTTGTAATAAGAAGAAATATTTTCTTATTGAAACGACAATATTTGAAGCTAATAAAAGAATCTCACCAATAATATATTTTTACACTGGATTAAACTGCTAGCAAATAGCCTAATGTTTAACAATTCTGTCATAAATTGTGGGGAATATCTACTTCCTAAATTGGAAAGTGAAATAATACAACATGGATAATTTGACATTTATACACTGCCTGATTTTTTTAAAGATTAAAATGGTTTACAGTAAAAACATGGATCAATTATTTTTAAATAAAAAGGAAAAATTCTAAAAATGGTTAATAATGAAATGAAGAATAACAATTCCAAAGCACTTCAGAGACGATGTCTATATGAAGAAAAGTATTAGGTTGGTGTAAAAGTTCCTTCAGTGGCAAAAACCGCAATTAAATAGTTTCCTTGGTAATTCCTAAGAAGAAGGGAAAAAAAAAAACATCCTCAGGTCAAGTGAGAGAGGGGCATGTAAGGGACAGAAAATTTTATCTTTCTTTCCAATGCTTTTCGGTTCTTGGAGGGATTATACAAAATAAACACAAATATCAGTTAACCAGGGGGTTCTCAAACACTGTCCTGACCAATGTTACTTGTGCTGTCTCAGAGTTCCATGGTCAAGTACATTTGAGAAACATTCGTACAACATTCTGAGCAGCAAGCTGAACATGCACACCCTGAAGATTTTGAGAAGTTCTGGAGTAGAACCACCTGTTCAGCTCTGTGGAAACCTGCATTTTCCAAATTTGTTTGAAGATAGAATATTTCTGCATGATCCACAAATATAGGAGCTTATATAATATTTATCTGTGCTGAAGTACAGAGAGCAACTGCAGCATGCTTTCCTTCTTTTAAGCCCCGAGATTATTCTACCGTCACGTCTTTCTATTCACCTTCCTCTCTGAAGTTCAGGGCTGGGACTGGGGGGCACTAAATCCTTCTGTGCCTTGTGATGCCCACGTTTACTAACAACGAGCTGTCTCTCCCATATTTGTCATTTTAAATTGCAAATAGAGCTTTCTCTGAGGATTTTTGATAGAGATGCCATCCTTCCATAGTTGCTTTGTTTCTGTCCGTGCCAGGCACCTCAGAAGTCATTATCAACCTGGTACTATTTTTAGCGTTTGTTTCTATGCCTTGAAAGTCTGTGATGGTTCCTGTCCAAAGCAGGTGGTGTAAATATTCATCTCAAACCCAAATGAAGTCTGGTGTAAAGTTTCAGATTCTCAAGGAGAATCCAGCTTCCTTGTTTTCTCCCTGTGCTAACGGGCAAATTGTTTTTCCTAGTGCAGCATTCAACTGAAGGTCTGTTTTTCCGCTGTTACGTGGAAGACCTGAATTCCAGCTTTTTGGCTTACCCACGCCTCTGTTTTTCTTCCATCCATATGAAGGAGCAAGTCTTTCTTGCCAACCTTTGCATGGTTCCCTGTAGCCTTTAATTTTTTCTGCGTATTCTGATCCCTGAAGATGTCCTTTACTTTCTTGTCCACTAAGCTAAGCATGTAAAAGTGAGGACCAATGTACTGAGCGCCCTTTTATGAAGTCTGGCAACTCTGTAAGCATCCAGCCGCCATCAGTGCAGCACCCTGAGTTAGAGCTCTTTGTTAGGCATCATAGAACCGGAAAGGCACAAATAGTGTCCCTGGCAACAAAGACTTCAGCTCCTCCCAGCTCAGGAGGCTTTCCCGGGACATGTCATATAGATTCGGCTCTGCACAGCTGTTCTAGAAATCTGAAAACCCTAAGTTGCACTGTTAACCCATCATCTTGTTAGCCCTGCCCAGGATGTCAAAGGAGGAAAGGAAATCAACATTTTTCTGCAATAAATGGTGACTTAAAGAAAGCTACCTCCATATTTGACCCTGTAAATCCATTAAAAACCTGGGGGCCTGCCAGAAAGTGCCTTTATGCTTGGCTCTAGATTAGCTTTCGTGACTTTCCTATAATGAATTGTAGCTCGCTTGAGTCATTAAGGAGATTCTGACAGGGAATCAGCTGGAATCTGCTGTTCTTTGAAGGACTCAATTTATCTATGATTCAGTGCTTAAGCAGTCAAAAGCCTTGAAGGGGTCAGTCAGGGAACATAGCTCATAACTCTTATATGTGCATTGACTTTCAGTATCTGCATTAGATAAACTTAAGACCAGAAAATAACTACTTTTCTTGCCACCTTTGCTCATTTGTTATTTAGCATTCCAGGCAAAGGTTAATTAAAAGTTTCTGTGTGTTGGCTCTATGGCTGATCACAGGCCAAAATTAACAGATTGAAGCTGTACTATTACAAGATTACATTATGTCTCTGTTAGAGACAGCAACCAATAAAACTGGATAGTGCTAAGTAATGTTAAGCTATTAACTATCTTTTAACCTTATTATAGTTTTATATTCTGTATTTTCTAAATGTGTCTGAATGTCTTGTTCTACTTTAAATTGTTTTTTAATTCCTGTTTCGTATTTTGCTTCTTAGCTTATTAATGTGGCTTTGGGTAAATGCATTTCCATTGAAAACACTACAGTCATTCTGGAAGATTGCGATGGGAGCAAAGAGGTATGCTAAACTGTTTTCTATCTCATGGTAGCTGACAGGTGCAGGGTATGACACATTCATTGCTCAATTGAGAAATTCATCTTTCCCCAATAGAAAAATAATTTTCTAAATTTCTTTGTAATTAGAGAATCCACCACTAAACACAAAGACAGTGACTGGGGGAATAAAGGTGTGGGTCCTGCACTCAACTCACTGGATCCAGAAAGAATACAGTCCTGCCACCATCACTTGCCAAAGCGTATTAACTTCTGCAGATTCATTAACCTTTGGGTAAATGGTAGTAATAATCATGCCTACTTCTAGAACTGGTGTGAGGCTGGAGTTAGGTAATACCTATGAAGCCTGCAGAACAATACCTAATGCTTAGTGCTCTGTAAATATTTGCTGTAATAATAATAAAGATAAAAATGTAAAAAATGCGTAACATAGGTAAAGATACTAAAGAGAGAACATATTTCTAAATAATCATTCTAAGGAAGCGGTCTTCTTCTCTGATTCCATTCCCCTTTCCCCTCATTCTCCCACATTTTAAGGGAATAATGGAAATAACCAAATCCATGATCCATGGTAGAAACGTCTATAGGAAAACTCCACAAACTCAGAGCGAAATGGTTAGTAGAGGGAGTAGGGCCAGGAAGCAGGGAATAGAGACTCCTTCCACAGTGCTGGAGGTGAGCTCTGAGTGATTACACTTCCCTCACTAACATACATTCCCTAACAGTTCTGTGTTTGTGGAAACAGTTATTGGTTTGAGTGGCAAGTAGGACTCAGAGGAAAATAGATTCATGAGTAGAAATCAGTTCCCAAAATTGCAGATTGTTCTTTGGTACAGAGATTATTTTGCGATGGTAATCTAGGCTTGTCAAGTCTTACATCTTTGCTTTGACTTCAAGATACTGTTTATATTTTTTGGTGCATCCCATCTCTACCTCTTAACTCAAAGCTGCTACTAGAAGAAAAGGTATCTCTGTTGCTATATTTAGCTATGAATTGTAAACCTGAAGCCAAGGCCACTCTTTTTTAATTAGGAAAGAAAGGAGTCAAAGGGAAGTGAAAAAGTGTTAAAACCCATTAAAAGAAATAACTTTCAGTTACTAACAAAGAGGAAATAAAGTCATAAATTGTAAAAACAAAACCACAGTTATTTCACATTATATAAAAGGAAAAGTATTAAATTATGCATTTTTTTTTTTGGAGGGGGGAATGATCATTGCAGGGACTTTTTGTGCCGGAGTAACCAGTATTTTATCTGAAAACCCAAGTTCTATTCTTGATGACCATTGAGTCTTTCTCAATTGGATGCTGGGAGGCAAAAGTATAAATTATTCAGCCTTCACCTTCCACAAAGCCCCAGCATCTTTTAGTCTCGTTGCTCATTTTTAGCTTCTGCCTCTCATAGTTTGCTTGGGTAATAAAAAGTAAAGAAATGTGGAGGAAGTTAACTCATTTTCGGCAGAATTAATGAGGCTTAATACCAAGCCAATGACTACAACATTCATCCAGAAAGGCTCAACAAGAATAAGACCCTTAGATTGAATCATCCAGCTCTATCCCTTTACCTTCTACCTAAAATATCTCCTTGGTTATTAACCTTTCAAGCAGTTGAGACATATTTTTCCAAGGTAACATCTAGCTTCTCTTAGTAGCACATAACTTCCTTATATTATGCCATACTTCCATGCTTCCTACATGTTAATGTTCACACAAATCACCTAGGGAGTTTGCTACACTGCAGATTCTGAATCAGTAGGTCCGTGATGTGGTTGAGACTCAGCACTTCTAACTAGCTCCCAGGTGATGTGGATGTTGGTCCAAGGACCACCATTCCAATGTCAAGTTCCAACACAATGACTTTGATCTAACCTGATAATCAAAGTTGAACTTCAGTTACAATACAAATGATTCATGAGGTAAAGGTTTAGATAGATTTTACCAGAAGCCTATTTTTTCAAATATGTTTATGTTAGTACAAAACAATAAATTTCCCACAGACCCAGAGCATTAGAGTAAATTGACCAGGCAGATAATACTAGGTTGTAAACAACTGAAGAAAAATATTTAAGGTTGAAAACGTAGTTTCATTACCAGAATTGGTGCTTATTTTAGACACTGGCAACTTCTCCAAGAGCAGTTTCTATGAACTGGGGGATGCCAACCTGGTAGCAACCTGATGATTCCTCGTGCTAGTAGCAAAGAAAGACTTCCACCTTTTCCACAATTGGACAAAGCCTTTATGATAGTTTTATACAAGGAAGCATCAAAAATCCACCCAAGAAATTTAGGGCTGTGACTGTTATCTCCCTATAGCCACCCGTGGTTTAGAACCTTAATCATGTGGTAGACTGAACATTCCAATTCTTTAAGCACCAGGCTTGTTTGGGATTCAGAACACTGAAATGACATCCATATGCAGACAGAACTAATTGCACTAAATAATTTTATTATTGTAACTAACATTTATTGAAGGCTTATTGGGTGCTAAACACTTGATAGTCATTACCCCAACCCTCTGAGATAGATACAATCGCTGTCCAACTTAAAAATTAGAAAAATAAGATTAGACAGGGTAAATAATATGCCCATACTATCAGAATTACAAATGATAATATCAGGACTTGAATCTAAAATGACAGATCATAGTTCCTATATTCTTAACTATTGCTAACAAAAATGTTTGACAAAGCCCCTGCCTGTGTCTGCTGCCTAAAGTGACCCTTTATTCATTTCCCCCACAGCTTCAACAATTTAATTACACCTGGTTAAGACTTATTAAATGTGGAGAATGGTGTATAGCCCCCACCCCTGATAAAGGAGGCATAGGCCTGCACCCTTGTGATAACAGAAACAAAGAGCTAAAATGGCTGCATAAATCAACATCAGTCTTTCATCCAGAACTGGTAAGCAAAAGATTGGTACCTCTTCTTTACCACAAATATGACTTTTGATCAAATAGGACATAAAATTTTCATTATCAGCTTCCTCAGTCAGAAGTTTTGTGTGTTTGTGACAATGGGATTATGTAAAAGCTCACTCACAGAGATACATGGGTATCTTTTGAAAGTTGGCAAGTCCTTTTTTTTCTTTTTCAAAATTTATTTCAAATGAGTTATTTTAAATAGAAGTCACCAAGTTCTTGTAGTTACATTGCTATCATTTGCTTCAGTCAATCGACAACACCAAAAGTTAGGCTTAAAGGCTAGAACTGGTTCCCACTCGTTATCAGAAATGCTTATAAGGAGAGGATATGGGCAGCACAGGAAGCCGCATGTCTCCTACAAGTCCTGCACTTGAGAATGAATCTGGTTCCTCATTCTGCCCCCTTTCCATAGAAGGAGACTTTTTCATCCCCTACGGTACCCAGAGACTGGGGCTTCTAACGGTCTGCTGGACCCAGCTTTCACCAGCTCGCTGGAGCCGCTTGTGTGTACACTTGCTAACTTTGCATTCAATCCTACCACATTGGTAGCTTGAAACTGGCCATATTGGGAGTATTTATACCACAGAAATTGGAAGATGTTACTGGATCAGGGATACTTTTCTGAAGGTCCAGTTATTCTATTTACCAGAACATTCCTGGTCTACTGTATTCATTCTCAAAAGTCCTCTCCATTTTTCCAAATTACATTTTAACAGAATATGGAGTCGTAAGCCTTGGTGTAGGAGCTTAAGGTTGGCGAGAATAGTCTCAGAACTGCCTTCTTAAATTTTCTACCATCTCTCTAGCAGGTAGCCACCAAATCTCCTGTCTACAGTAAATATCTGGGTATTTGGAGACTCTCAGTTTGCCCAGGGCTGTCCCTAAAGTAAGCACCTTTTCTTCCTCGAGGTACCTCCGTTCCTGTTAACAACACAGCCAATGACTATTCTCTTCTCAACATTTTTCTTCCTGCTCAAGGCCAAAACTGGGGCCTGAGTAATGTGTTCTCCAGCCTTTCTCCCATTAGATCCTCTCTGTTGTATTTCAATTCTTTCTGGACAGTCTTTTTCTCTTTAGTAATAATGGTTATTATTGAGTTATTCAGAAAGATTAGGAATTATTAGCATATATGCTGCTAATTTTATTTTTGCATAGTGTTAGGAAATCCATATACATGCAGTGTAGTGAATAACTTACATCTTACCTTCTCCCTGTGCCAAAGTCAGGAGGGAGGGAAGGAGAAAGGGGGAGTGGGATAAGGAGAGAAAGAGAGAAAGTGAGTAAGAGAGAGAGAGAATATGAATAAGAACGAGAACTAAAACACATTCTTCATCTCCAGAATTGAATCTTGGGAAAGAGTTCAAGCATAGCAATTTCTCTTAAGCAGTAAGCCGATTTGGTAAAGGAGGTAATTTAGTTAAGATAGCAAAAATTGGAAAACCTTTTCCCTACCTTGTTTGTACCTATGACTTTGTGACATTTGACACAGCTGCCTTCTGTCTTGGGTTTCCTTTTTGATGTTACCAAATGTCCTGGAGATTAGAAGCTTGGTGATCAGCTTTCTTCTTTTTTCAGTTTTTCAGTAGTTTTCATGCTATACCTCCTAGGTCCCCCAGTACATGTAAGTCTTAAACAACAAGAGAAGTATAAAATGAGACTTCTTTACAAATCCTTGACAATATTCAAGCATCATATTTCCAAAATCCTGCAAAGGTGACGATACTTTTGAGGAACAATCTTTAAAATAAATTATTATGAAAGTCACCCCTTTTTGATAACTTATTAAGGTTTAAAAACAACATGTGTAATTAAGATCGTCTTTGTCATAGTCATAAGTAATTGAGAGAATTTATAGATAAAAAAATATATAAGCCATTAGTAAGTTCTATGTAATTTATCTATCATTTCTAGGATATTCACTAAATATTAAGCAATAATAGAACTTTATTTAATATTTGGACATCAGTTGTTATGAATTGTCAGAGATTATGGTAAAGAGCTCACAAATAAAATACATCACTTCCAGAATTTTGTAATCCAAATTCACAAAGACACCTACTTTAAAAATTAATTAGCTTTTTGTTGCAGTATGTATTTTTTCTTTACCGTCAATGAAGTAGTTATCATCTATCAAATCCAATAAATGTCATCTGTAATGTTTTCTCTTTAAAGAGTATATAGTTCTCAGCCACATCATCAAAAAATTTTTATTTTGCCTCCTGAGGACTTAAAAGTCTTATAGCTTGGAGGAGGATGATTACTTAGTCTGAGACAGAGACAAATTTAATACTTTTCAAAGTCTGTGTTTATGTTAATAATTTAGTTCAGAAGAGTTCTTAAAAATCAAAAATATAACTGCCTGTCAGTTTTTTTAAATTGGTTTTCATTTCTTTATATCGCAGTTATCAAATTCAACCTCATTCCCAGATCCTCTTTCTCTCCAGGTGAATCACATTGTTTTTGAAAACAATCAGCAATTATTATGCTTGGAAGGAAATTTTTCTCAAAAGATCCTGAAAGTAGCTGTCTGTGACCCAGTGAAGCCATATCAAAAGTGGAAATTTGAAAAATATTATGAAGCCTGAAATGGAACTGATGTTTTTATATAGTAAATGCATTAAATACTGTGAAAATAACACTGAACTTGTTAACTGTATTTCTCAGCGGTAGTTTAAATTTTCAATTTTAATAGAATTTGAATGGAAGATTTTTTATAAATCACAATATTTGGAATACCAAAAGATAACTCAGGAAAACAGTCCAACATTGGACTGAAGTCCTTCTTCAGAACTGGGTGGCCTTTTGAATTGCCTGCTTTCCACCCTGTGCTAGAACTCATCCTGCAAATTTCCCTATGAAGCTAACAAGTAACCGGAAATGAAGACAGAAGGACTTGAGAAAGCATGAGGGTATTCCCAATGACTGTGTTTGATAATAATCAGCTCTTCTGGCCCACAAGTAGGAATGATCAACGAGAACTTAACTTAGTCCTTTATTTGGAGATTTTTTCATCAAACAAAAATTTCTTGAGTTCTTATGGCTAGAATACCTCGGATGCCCACAGCTATCACGTTTGTGAAATCCCTCCAGACTACATGCATACTTACCTAACAGTTTGAAATGGGATTGATCTACTGCCGGTAACCCTGCTTGATGGCAGCATTTTGATCTAAATTACATAATGGTTTTTCCCAATCTGAATCAGTGGAAAAAAATTTAAGTGAGGAAGAAGAGGGCTTCAAATGCTTATTTAATTCTAGGTATGAACACTGTTTCAGCTCATTTTGTGCTTTTAAAACTACAATTTTAAAGATTTGCAATACCAATAACTTCCTAGATTCATGTGGATTTTTTTAAAGGCAATGAAAAAAGGCTGGATTATAACACACTGTAGTAACCAAAAATGCATTTAAGCATTGAATGCACTCTAGTGCAGGGCCAAATAAGAGGAGTTGAAATGAGTAAAGCAGAAATAGAACTGCTGAAAGTTTCTTTTATATAAAAATAATAAAATACGACTTTAGATATAGTAGCAGTCACAGGAATGAAATATGCTAAAAATGGGCTCTAAAATATTTCAGAGTGAAAGTAAAGTGAAGGAAACACCATGAAACGGGAAAGGAGTGAGGTAAACAAGTCTTAGGAAGAGAGTTAAGAAAAAATTCCCCTGGACTTAACCAGAGAAGGAAGGGGATCTGGTATCTCTATGAAGGAAAAAAGAGTAAAGCCCTCAGTGTGAACCCAGTGAAAACACTGAAAATTTGGGAAAAGTTAAATACTGATTTCATCCAAATAAAGCCTCTAATCTTAAGTATACCAATACATTGACATACCAGAAGAGGCCTTAGAAATCAGGATCGCCTTTGCATTTATTTCATTAAGAAAACTGATGCTGAGAGGACAAATTACCTAAAAATCTTAAAACCCAGGCAAGTCAGTCAAAGAATCAAGATTAGAATTCAGGTTTCCAGAGACAGGGCTCATTCTGCTGCCTCAGGTCACTGGCTGGCCTGAACAAATCTGCTTCACAGAATTCCTTAGAAAGAGGTACACAAATTTCTTTGCTGGGATTGGGTCCCTGGAGGACAACCATACTATATTCTTGTTAATATTTTTTTTTTAAGTTAAACCTTGGTTCAGTTGAGATGAAGGTGAAACTAGATATATTTCATTCTGACTTCTAGTTTAACATTTAATTTCAACTTCTAGTGAGTTAACGTAAAAGCAAAACTATAAGAATGGGAAAAAGAACTATTTCTGCACATTTGTAACATATTTAAGATGTTTTCTTCAAATAATTGAAAATTGTAGATGAGTAAGAGAATGACTAGAAAATGAGATACAGTTATATGACACATAATGATGTTTTAGTCAACAATGAACCACATATTTGACATTGGTCCCAAAAGATTATATTAATAGTATGGTATCTTTACTCTACTTTTTCTATGTTTAGATATGTTTAGATACACAAATACTCACCATGATGTTAAGATAGCCTACAGTATTCAATACAGTAACATGTACAAGTTTGTAGCCTAGAAGCAACAGGGATTCCATATAGCCTAGGTGTGTAGCTGGCTACCTACACCATCTAGGTTTGTGTAAGTACACTCTGATGTTCACACAATGATGAAATTGCCTAATGACACATTTCTCAGAATGTATTTGTGTCATTAAATGATGCATGACTGTAATTCTTTTCAAAACAGAGCCATATGGGGCAAGGGGGGTCGGGGGACACAAGTCAGTTGCCAAAAGACTAATTGAGTTAGTGACACACTGAATATGCTAGGTGCTTCACGTAATTCTTCTTGTAACTAAAAAATGTTCAGAGGTTTTTTCCCCCCGGGTATATAGGCTCTCTTTTTATCCAAAAATACTTTCCACAAAGAAGTCAACTCTGTTCTGAAAAAAAAAATGAATTGTGTTTTGAATACACTCATCTTTGGGTATATCAGCTAAAGGAAGTTGGATTTTTTTCCTTAACAGAACCTTCTGCAGTCCTCTCAGTTCACATCCTTTCTGACTTTACCTTGACCAACTTATTATATAAAGCTATATTTAAATCTCTATTGTCAATATGACAAAGGATTGTTTTCAAACATCACAAATTTGTTCTTGGATAGAATTTTATACATTGCTTTTGTCATATATTTGCTGTTACTCTAAGAAGCAAGGAACTGATCACTAGTTGGGAATTTATATGGGCCTAAACTTGAGTGTATTGATTTATTATGAAATCCACTACCAACATTTTCTCAAGCAGAACCTTCTAAATTTTTTTCAGGAGACTGGAATAAAGGTATAAATGCTACTTGATCTTCTGGTACTTCTAATGATAAACCTTTGGATGAGACAGGTACTAATCAGTACTGAATTCTTCAATAGGAGACTGTGTTATAGGAGCTACAGATTTTTCCCTGAATTAGCTTAGGTCATTGCCTTTTCTTTTTTAAAAAAAAAAAAAAAAAAGTCTATGCATCTTGTGACCTTGAATACAAGGGTGGTCTTGATAGTATTTGACAGGACTAACCAACTTACCAAGCCATCTAAGTGCTTCTGAGACTTTTCAGTTTGCACAATTTCTTTCTTTTTCAACAGTTACCCAGCGCTTCTGCCCTACTCTCTTGTAAGCTGACAGAGCTGTTGTTGGTACAACCGTGTTTTATCACCAGCATCAAATTTGCTTAATACTGCTTGCTGACATCCCCTCAGCTGTCACTCACAGCAAACCACCATGTGCGATGATCACAATGTATTATTAGCTTCCCCACACTAATTTGGAAACATTCTCTTAGATATTAAAACACCTTGCTTCTAGTATTAGTTTGGGACTGAAGAGGGGCAAAGATACCATTTACAGTGTATAGGAGTCCAATATTCCCAACCAACCTTGATTTCATGAATGGCTTGTAATTATTTTTAGTGGGCACTCATGCAATAGAATGAGGTTTAAACATACCAGAGAGTACCATCTTTCTTTGTTTTAACATCTCTGATTGAATTCCTATATTCAGAATACAAGAAAGAAATTTTACCAACCTGGCACAGTGGCTCACGCCTGTAATCCCAGCACTTTAGGAGGCCAAGGTGGGTGGATCATGAGGTCAGGAGTTCAAGACCAGCCTGGGTAACATGGTGAAACCCTATCTCTACTAAAAATACAAAAATTAGCTGGGCATGGTGGTGGACGCCTGTAATCCCAGCTACTTGGGAGGCTGAGGCAGGAGAATTGCTTGAACCTGGGAGGTGGAGGTTGCAGTGAGCCGAGATTGTGCCACTGCACTACAGCCTAGAAAACAGAGCAAGACTCCATCTAAAGGAGGAGGAGGAGGAGGAGGAGGAGGAGGAGGAGGAAGAAGAAGAAGAAGGAGAAGAAGGAGGAGAAGGAGGAGGAGGAGGAGGAGGAGGAGGAGGAGGAGGAGGAGGAGGAGGAGGAGAGAAGAAGAAGAAGAAGAAGAAGAAGAAGAAGAAGAAGAAGAAGAAGAAGAAGAAGAAGAATTATTTTTACCTCAGAAGAAAGCCCCAAAATCTTGGATTAAAAACGAAAAAATGACAATGGGTGATGGGAAAAAAGAAAGGAACTAATTATCATTGAGTATGTGTAGGCACTATTTGTATAGGCACTATATGTGTCCCCTCTCACTGATGGGTACAACTCATGAAGTGAGTCTCATTCTCCCTGTTATACGAAGAAGGATAACTCCCATATACAGATGAGGAATTTGGCAAATTGCCCAAGGTCATCCCACAAGTAAGAGACAAAGCCCAGTTTCCATTTTATCTGGCTCAAAAAAACATTTCTCTTACTATACCATGCTGCTATATAATTAATTTTCTTCTTTACATAAGGCTGTCATCTCAGGTGGGTGCATTTAAAAGTTTCTTGGTCTCAGATTACTGACGCCACAGTATTGAAATGAGATTGAATTAAACTTCTTTGGTCTCTTTTGGATGTTGCATAAACAGAAAAAAGAAACTAGGTCTCTCTGTGGTAACCAACTGATGGGTAGGTATAACCATGGCTACCCCCACATGTTTTGCTGTGATCTGTCTCTTTAACTTCGTGCAGAACCTATTCTCTTTCATCTCCTGGACCAAATATGAGAGAAGGAAGTGGACATGTGGAAGGTTCTTCCTCCGTGAATAATATTGAAACAGTTCCATATTCTGGAGAAATACCCATGGTTCATTGTCTCATGCCAAGATAGAATTCAGGACACAGACACACAAGAGGAGTGGGTCTAGGAGTGGAAAGTTTAATAGATAAAGAAGAAGAGAACAAGAAAGCTTACACATGTTGAGAAAGCGAGTTGCTCAAGAGAGGGTTTTCCACGTTTGGGGCAAGATTTGATGGATTTTATACAGAGGCTTGAGGAGGTGGTGATTGATTTACATAGAGCCCAGGGGATTGGTTTAACCAGGTGTACTATTTACACAGCCAGTGAAAAGACTGGCCCTCCCACCCTAATCTTTTATTATGCAAACGCAGCTTCTACCTGGCTGTCACCATGACCTTGCACACGTGGCTTTACTTGACTGGCACCATGACACCCACACACCTGGTGACAAGGAAAAGGGAGCGGGAATTGCCATATTCAATGTGCCTGGCTTCCAGGTACAGCTGCTAACTTTACATATGCGAGCCTCTAGCTTGCAACTTGATTTTTCAGGCTCCTTTTTGTTAGAAAACAAATGGTTTGGGGGCTGCTTTTTATTAAAGGAAAAATTCACTGAGAACTATTTTACCCTTTCTAATGGCCTAAAATAAATTTTTAATGACTCCTGTATTAATATTACCAACTCTCTTGATTCCTCCAACCTTTAAACAAAGCTAGCAGATTGCTCATCTTGAATAGAAATAAAAAGTTAAAAAGTTGGAGTCCTTTAAAACACAAACCATGACTTTTTATTTCTACTGATTGTGTAGATTGTCACTACTGTGTTTTGCAACAACTTTTGCACGGGTTACTCAATAGTTGCTACAAGACAATATGCCTTACAATCAGAAAAAATAATATTAGCCAGAGATATTGTACAAAATATTTATTTTTTGACAGTTTTGAATAAGCCATATGAAGTATTGTATATCCCTAATAAGGCTTAATGGATGGTATTCCAGGTGTTGGTGGTGTCTGTATCTCAAAGAAAGAAAAAAAATAACATCACACTAAACAGAATTAATGCCTCTGTTTTCAACCTAATGGAACAATAGTTATCATTTCAATTAGGGTCCCTTTGCAAGTTTATGTGATTCTTTGCTTTGTAAAAACACAAAACACAAGGGAAAATTCTCATTTTCCAGCAAATACAGCAACTTCTATTATGCTGAGTTTCTAATAATGAGTTGCCATCAAATAAGTAATAAATAATTTCTTTGAAAACAAGAGCTTTCTGTTTTATTATTGATTGACAGGTATTTACCAGTTTAAGGATATTGTCCATAAGTATCTATATAATAAAGCCTTTATATTAGATGTTAAATTAAAATTTTTGATAGCATGAATAGATTTTTAAGTGACCATTCAAAAACAGCAATTTTTGTAAATATACTGTATGTGTGTAGATGTGTATATATATATATGTTTGTCGATGCTTTGATCTGGATGCTTTGATATGTTTGTCGATGCTTTGATCTAAATATTTGTCGATGCTTTGATCTGGAAGAAAGAAATATCAAGAGTTTCTACTCACAACGTAAAGAAAATTAAATGTTTTTGGATATTTTTAATTCTTTCAGTTGTATAGCTTTGTCTGCATCTGGACTTCTGTACAAAAGTATCTCAAGTGAACTTTCACTGTGGATACCGTTTTCCAAACTTCAAGGAATAATCAAATTCTCAATTATCAGGGTGCTTGTTATTTAGTTGAAGATTACACACGTCTTCTGCTTCAAACAACTACCCCAAATTTGCTAGTTTTATATATATTGGCTTAAAAACAAGAGAAGTCAAAGATTAAGTAAGTGAATTGTGTTAAGGATTGCCTGAAAACGTTTGCTAAGGGGAGAATAAAACTAAAACTATGGAGTATAAAGGATGTTGGAATTAAACATCTTTAAGTACTTTTTTTCTGCATCTGACCAACTGAAGTTATTATAAAGAAGGAATCAAGTATGTAACTTTAAATTCTAGGTAAACACCCAAATTAGTTTCTAAATTCATTTCCAAAATTCTCCTGTGCTGGCAGTTAGCTACTAGAGATCATCATTTGCTTTTGCAGTTTGCCATGTTCTGAGTGACTTCAACTGTTTACTGCTACCCAAGTCATTGTGTTTGTATTGATTGCCTGGCTCAGTTATCTCATGTTCTTCGTGAGCTATATACACATTTTCATTGTCTTTAAACAATACTCTGTTTTTAAGTTAAGTAGAATATTGTACGGGTTATCAGAAACCCATATTCATTGTGTTATGTTTCTGTCTGATATTTTAATGTTGGCAAATATAGTTTTTAACATTGCATTTTACAATCCCATTGGTTTTTAGAGTGATGAAAGTTCAAGTTTTAAGAGAAGTGGTTGCCTTTCTCATACTGTCAAACATATTTTTTCTTTATTATACTCTGGTGCTTTATCCTTCTCCATAATTTTCTATTATTACTTATTTTAAATGTTTTCCCTATCACATTGAAAAACTTAAATGTCCGTTCTCCATTTGAAAACATGCCAAAAGTACTGTCCCATGTAAATATGCAGAAACAATTACTATGAAAATGTCAGCATAGTTTAAATGTATTACTTTGATGATTACAGAGATTTTTTTTCAAGTTGTTCATGTTAAGATGCATCTTAAACAGTATCTCAGTTCCTTAAAAAATAATAAAAATTTTTCATGTATATTACATATCTACCTACCAGAAATCCTTTTTACAATTTTATATACAATCATTTTAAGACCCTTTTGAAATAAATAATGCAAATGAATTAAAATAAAGTGTTCTCTTGATTTCTGAAGAGGCATTCGTTAATTATCTTAGTAGCTGCTGATATACAAGGATTCTTTCTAAAGTTTAAAAGGCAGCTAAAGAAAATAAAGTCTAGAAACCAGAAATAGAGACAAACTTTTATTGAGAGTAAGTCATACACAGCAGTTCTTTATTTAAATTGTAGATAGATAGGTAGGTAGGGGGAGAGAGAGATGCTAGCAAATTCTGTGCCTTCAATGTAGCATTATATGAAAGGTAGATTTTATATTGGCAGAGAAATAGAGCTATTGTTAGTTTCTGTTCATCTAGCAACAAAGGCAAACAGTCACGTAAGAAATACCAGCATTTGCACAATATATTAATTCTCCCTCTTCCCTGGTTTTAGAGT